AAAAAAAAAAAAAAAAAAAAAATGTGTAAAATAAAGCTCTGCCCCGACCACCTTGGGCAAAATAAACTTTCTAAATTAACTGAGATCTGTGTAAGATTTTCTGGTTTCACAGCTGCAATGTCAAACGGGGGGCTGTGGGAGATCACAAAGGAAACCTGGAGAAGATGATATCAGAACAGGGACCTAGGAAAGAAAGGCTGCTTGTCACTTGCAGCTGAGGGGCAGAGAGCCCTAGACAGAGGGACAGCTCCAGTGAAGCCCCTGAGACAGGAGCAACCTCAGCCCCAGGAAAAGGAAAGCGATCCATGTGGCTGGAGCAGTGGAAGAGAGGAGGGCACAGGTAGGACATAAGGTCAGAGAGGTCCTGGGGGGGCACAGACCCATAGGGACATGGTCTTCAAACATTTTCTCCCACAACCCAAAAGAATTTTGAAAGTTGATGGTGATCCCTGCTATGCGGGGTTCTGAGGCAGAAGAATCCCTTGAAGCCAGGAGACAGAGGTTGCAGTGAGCTGAGATCGTGCCATTGTACTCCAGCCTGGGACACAAGAGTGAAAATGTGTCTCAAAAAAAAAAAAAAACAAACCAAAAAAAAGGAAGTGATGTATCTTCTCACTCCTTTCAGGTATACATGTAAGTTTCTCTTTATATTATAATTTACAGCACTTATAAATAATGTAACTTATTTCCCATATTTAAAACACATGCTGTCAAGTTCAGCTAAGTTTCCAGAAGTACACAGTCACTCTCTTCTGAGATGTGCAGACTGTAAGGGAATGTTCGGGGGTTTAGGACATCACTTATGGACACCTGAAGGTGAGGATGCCCGTTTGATGTCCCAGGAGAGAGCTGAGGAGACAATTGGACACAGGATTGTAGAGCTCAGTGGCGAGGCCTGCAGGGGACATGGAGTCGTGTAGGTGGGTTAAAGCTCTGAGATGATAAGGCTCAAGGTGATTTGACTCTAATCCCCTGTTTTTGCTCATCTTGTGTGTTTTTTTTGTTTTTTTTTTTTAACATTTGGATAACTGGAACCCATTTAAAATTCGAGTTAAAACTGAGCACCCTAATTCTGTACATATCTCTCATTCTCCAATTCTCTCTCTAGTTCTTGTTTTATTTTCTTTTTCCCTGGGATTCTGCTCCTCATTTTGTACCCCTCTCCTCTCCTGCTATTTTTCCCCTTCTTCCCTCTATTCCTTCTCTTCCACCTCTTCTGCTCCATCCTCACAACTTATTTAACCTCTTTTTTTTTTCTTGAGACCGAGTTTTGCTATTGTTGCCCAGGGTGGAGTGCAATGGTGAGATCTCGGCTCACCGCAACCTCAGCCTCTCAAGTTCAAGCGATTCTCCTGCCTCAGACTCCCTAGTAGCTAGGATTACAGGCATGTGCAACCGCGCCTGGCTAATTTTGTATTTTTAGTAGAGACGTGGTTTTTTCCATGTTGGTCAGGCTGGTCTCGAACTCTGGACCTCAGGTGATCCGCCCACCTCAGTCTCCCATAGTGCTGAGATTACAGGCATGAGCCACAGCGCCCAGTCCTTATTTAACCTCTTGTTGCTCCTTCTCCCCAATCTTTTGATCGTCCTCAATCTCTATATATTACCACCTCTTCTCTTATCTCTGCGTCTCCTCTGCTTTCCCTGTTAAATTCTCTCTTCCCTGTTACACCCCCCGTCCCCACTCTCTAGAACCATAGATCCCCAGGTGTCCTCCCTGCTGTGGTTCTCCCTCTGTTCTCCTTGCCACCAGCACCACTCTGCTCTATCTGCCCTGGCTTCAAATCCCTCCTCCTCTCCCTCACTCTGATGAGCCTCCCTCTTTCCTGCCCCTCTCCCTACATTGCTGTCCTTCATCTCTGCACAGCTAGCTTTTCTCTACATTTCTCCAGTTGCTTTTCTCTTCCCGCTATCTTTTTTTTTCTTTCACTTTTGCTGTCTCTTGGCTAATCCCTCACCCATCCTCTACTCTGCCATCTGCTATGGACCTTTCTCATTTTTCTTTTCTCTGTCTCTGGTTTTCTACTGCTCTCTCAGTCCCTCTCTCTGTCTCCTGATCCCTTTGGCCCACACAATCACAGGAGGGTTTGGAGTAAGACGCCTGCGTTCCAGAGAAATGCATTTTCCAGGGGGTGGAGCTGGGCAGGCAAGAACACCAGGTGTCATAGGACAAGCCCCTGGGACCTCCCCAACGCTGGCTCAGGGGAAGCGGTGACTGCGGAGGAAAGACTTGGAGAGCAGCAGGGTCCAGCATGAGGAGGGACGTGGGGGGCTGAAAGCGCCTTAAGACAAGGGTTAGACCTGCAGGATCCCAGGACCAGGCAGAGGACAAAGCACCCCGGGACTGGGGCCGCGGTGCTGTGCTCCAGGGGCCGACTGGGGCGAGGCTGGGCAGCGCACAGGGCGGGAATCCACCTCGCGCCTGAGGACTTTAAAAATCATGGGGCGGGAGGAGTCAGAACAAGGTTTTGAGGCGAAAATTATGGCATAGGAAGTGTATACATTGCCCTATAGCAGAAAGACCGGGACGGGAACAACCTCCGGGCGACTTCAAACCCAAAAGGAAGCAACTTCCGGACTCTTACGGAGACGTCTCAATTTGTTCTGGGTGAAGGAAGACAGGCGAGAATTTCCAGGTCCGTGGGGACCCCACGTCCCAGAGACAGAAACGCTGGGGACCTGCGAAGCCAGTGAACACAAGACAGAGCGAAACTCACGCTCCGCGGTAGGACCTTCACCTCACGCGATCCGCTTCCGGGTTTGCGCGGGCAGGACAGAAACCAGGCTTGGGCGGAGCCCGCGAGCAAGTTAACGGAGCCTGGGCGGGGTAGGGGCGGGGCGTGTGGCGGAGAGACCTTGCCCTGTAGAGGCAGCGGAGGGCGGGCCAGGGGCGGGACCTGTGCGTCTCTCTGCCTGGCACCCAGAGCCTGTTTTTCGGGTTTTTGGAAGCGAGAGTGGCCAGGAAGGTTGAGGCATGATTCAAAAGCCCTGGAATTGTCTGGAACGGGGATGCAAACTAGAATGTGAAATGCAAAGCCCTGTCTGGGCGGAATGTACGATTTCATGCTGACGGCCCACAGAACAGAATAGAAATCCTCTCCCTTTCTATTGTCCATTCACTCAGGAGGGAGGGTCCACCCTGTGCTCAGCTTCAGAGACTTCCCTAGGGCCTCCGCCTGGGATGCGGGAGTTAGTGCTCAGGCCAGGGAGAAGAGAGGTCACCA